CTCCACGTCCCTCTTGTGCTGTTGCCCCAGGACAGAGCTGGACACAGGACTGCAGGGGGGTTCACTCATCTGTGAGCCCACCAGAGTAATGGTTGCACGAAGCAGTTTCCTGCCTCCAGCTGGGGACAGGGTGCTGTGCGCAGAGGTGGTGCTTTGCCCCTTCCCTTTGGAGATGCTTCTTGGGCTCCAGTGGTACTTTCCAGAAGGATCAGCTCTCTGCCATAAGGTCAGAGTTGAATGCAGGGCTGGAGAGCAGCAGGTCCTGCATCCTCCAATGCCCAACTGGTTTGGGTTGAATGGGTCACCTTCCCTGTGTGAGGGCAGATTAAAACAGGAGATTCCCCACCCCTCAGGCAAAGTGAGTCTGGCACAAGCCCTAACACACAAGTGCCCCAGTCTCGTCACATCAGTGACACCTCTGCAGCTTCCCCCACCTCAGACTCCTCTTAAGCTCACGTGGCAATAAAGAAGTATTACAACCTTTTAAGATGGAGTTGTGGTCAAAAGCTGTGTCACAACAGGGACTGTGTCACTGAGGTGTGAGGGAGCTGGATCCCCTGCTCCAAGCCCCAGAGAACAGTCCCTGCCACCACACACCCTGAGCTCACAGGACAGGGTGGAAGGTCCTCACCGGGTGAAGAACCTCTGAAAACCAAACCAAGACACAGAAATCATTTCTATTGATTTTATTTTAGAAACATCAAAAAATAGGGTGGTTTTTTTAACAAAAGCTCTTGTTCACAATACTAATACGAATCCCCATGTAACAGTGCCCAAGAATGTTCTCCAAAATGCACATTCACCCTTAAACAAGGGGGTTTGAAGCAGCACGATCCTTCCCAGCTGTACCTCGATTTAGAAGCAGCACTGTTACATACAGATCCCTGGTGCTGGTGTTTCTTTCCCTCCAGACAACTAATTCTTTAGGACCCTCAATGAGAAACTATGCAAGCTAGATGTTACTTACCTATTTTAAGCTGGTTTTTTGTTTCTAGGAAGATAACAAGAGAAAGTGTTCCAGAACTGGTGTTTTGCTGCTATTTCACAGTGAAAAAAGAAAGCTAATGGAGCAACCATGAGAAACCTGCAGCCATCCCTGGAGGTAGTTAGGGCAACGTTGGTAAGATTTTGGTTTCTGTACTTAATTTGACCTTAAAAGATACCAGGAAATACTGCTTATGCTTTTTGGAGGTTTTGATCTTAAAGCTGTTCACCTTTAAAGAACTGAAAGCTCTTAACTTTGGAGCTAAAGGTACGTCTCGCTGTGGAGAGCGGGAAGCACAGCACTGGCACACGGTGCTGCTCACTGCACTGGATCTGCCAAGCCAGGCGGTGCTCAGCGCGGAGGGTGCTCAGTGACAAGACAACCAGATGGTGAGGCCAGTATAAAGTCAGGCTGTGTGGAGACACCAGGATCCTCAAAGGAAAGGCCCCACTCGGAGCAAAGGCACCAACCTGCTGCCGGTCGCACCGGTCGGTCGGGATTTCCTTCTAGAAAAGACTTTCTCCTTTGGGAAGATCACTGTAAGCCCCTGGCTGTGAGCTTCTTCCCCAAGTCCATGACAGTCTGCAGGTTGCACAGCCACACCTCTGCTCATGGGCTTTTCCAAGACACTACAGGATCCTCTGAGCACACTCTGTGTTCATCTGCACACAGCAATGCAGATGAGTTTGGTTTGTGGTGGAAGGAGGAGATCAGGATTAGCACATCAACCAGGCAAATGCAAACCAGCCTCGGAGGGATTCAAATACAAGGTACAAACAAGCAGCCTCCGAGAGGAAAGTGTCCTGCTCAGAGTGACTACAGGAAGGGAAAACTAAATAAATGTGCCTGTGCTTGGCCACAGGCCTCAAAGCAAAGTGAAGCCCCAGTAATTCCATCAGCATCGGCCGTACAAGACTCACAAGCTCAACAACAAAACTGGAGAAGCCCAACAGAAATGAGACAGGACCCAAGTGCAGATGTCACTCTTGGCACAGGAGTTTTCCTCCCCCTCCCCCCAGTTCTGGTCAGTGCAAACTTGGGGCTGTTCTTTCAAGTGGAGACCCAGCACTTGTAACCAGGCTCATCTCCCACTTCCACACATGGAGAATATTGTCATAGAAGGAACAAGTTGCTACAATGCTCATTTCCTTGGGGCTGTCCAGAGACGTGGCTGAATCACCAGCCAGGCCCATTCCCGAGGGTCTCTTGGCTCCTGAGCCAGAACCTCCCCCTCGGGCTGGACCCACAGCCAAATCCAAGCTCCCCTTTAAATCAGAGCCCCCAGCCAGCTCAGGAGCCTGCTCTGCTTTGAGCAGTGGGGCAGGGCCTTCACTCTCCTCATCCAGTATCACATCAAAAGTAGCTGTAGGAGACTCATAAATGATCTTCAGGTTCTGGACCTGCAAGTTCAGTCTCTCATCTCCCTCCTCTGACCTTTCCACAAGCTCCTCTGAAGACTGGCATGCAGCAGTGGAGTCCTGGGTGGCAGTCAAGGAACCCCTCGGACACAGCCTTGACCAGTCAGCCCCATAGGCCAAGGAATTGTGCAGGACATAGGATGACAGGATGGTGCATTCCTCCGTGTTTTCCGCTTGGAAGAAATAATAACATATGAAATGAGCAGAAATCAAGTTAGGAAATGGTTGCAGCCTGCCCAGAAGCCATTCTAGCACTGGCTATGTCCTACAGGAAGAATTCTCTGGTTACTGCTGTAGGAGAAATGAGGTCCTGCCTCTCCTGAGGCACCTCTCATTAGCCTTGATTTTCAGTAAGCAGATGGGAGAAGAGGCTTTAATATGCATGAGGATCAAGAGCCTCATAATTCAGAACACCTAAAAAGGCTCGAGAAAGCTAAGACAGCTCAAAGGGTGACCTCCACTGAGCCCACACACACATGAGGACATTGCCAGGCCAGGTTCTGGTGGGCAAGAAACTGCAGATGTGTGAGCTTTCAGCATGTGACTGTGACATCAAGTGGACATCAGGTCCTCCCTTC